GTGAAAATGTCAAATTACCTGTGGTTGCTCATTTTGGCAGCCAATTTCACAAAGCAGCGCCATGATGCAACGGATCTGATGCCAAAGGAAGCCTTTTGCTTTGATTGTTAACTCGAAAAAATCGTACGGTGATGATATATCATCCCTTAACAAATTTACCCACAATTCTTGGTATGTCAAAAGTCAAATCAATACTCTCCCCGTACTAGTACTCTGTGACTGGCGCAAGTACTGGGGATGTACTCCGAGTGGCCGTAAATACCGGTAACAACCACTCGTTGGTAAGACTGTTGTCCAGCAGTGCACAAGAGTTTGACTTTGCCCATGGTTTACCTATAATTCTTGGTATGTCAAAAATCAAGCCAAAACCCCACCTTATTCGTACTCTGTGATAGGTGCAAGTACTGGGGATATAATCCGAGTGGTCACAAATACCGACAACAACCACTCGTTGGCAAGACTGTTGTCTGGCAGTGCAAAAGAGCTAGACTTTGCCCATGGTTTACCTATAATTCTTTGTATATCAAAAGTTAATTCAAAACCCCACCTTATTCGTATTCTGTGACAGGCGGAGGCGCTGGAGGAATAGTCCGAGTGGTCGCAAATATCGATAACAACCACTCGTTGGCAAGACTGTTGTCCGGCAGTGGACAAGAGTTTGACTTTATCCATGGTTTACTTATAATTTTCAATACGCCAAAATCAAGTCAAAACCCCCACCATATTCATACTTTGTGAAAAATGGAAGCGCTGCGGATGTGGTCCGAATGGTCGCAAATATCGATAACAACCACTCGTTGGCAAGACTGTTGTCTGGCAGTGGACAAGAGTATGACTTTGTTCATGGTTTACCTATAATTCTTGGTATGTCAAAAGTCAAGTCAATACTCGCCCCGCATTAGCACTCTGTGACAGACGGGGCGCTGGGAGATGTAGTCCGAGTAGTCGCAAATACTGATAACAACCACTCGTTGGCAAGACTGTTGTCTGGCAGTGGACAAGAGTTTGACTTTGCCCATGGTTTACCTATAATCCTTGCTATGTCAAAAGTCAAGTCAAAACCCCCACCATATTCATACTTTGTGAAAAACGGAAGCACTGCGGATGTGGTCCGAGTGGTCGCAAATACTAACAACAACCACTCGCTGGCAAAACTGTCAAAAGCACTGTTGTCGGGCAATGGCCAAGAGTCTGACTTTGCCCACAGGACAACCAAAATTCTTTTGTGTTATGGTAGTATTGAAAATATAACTTACTTACGATATTGCCGATATACGGGCATAATTTATGGTGCGTACATAGCTCATTTCCACGCGTTCTTTGTTCATATCAATACGGCAAAAATTACGGAAATCATGCTCACCAACCAATAAATCGCAAGCCTCTTGCATTGCCTTAAATACTAACAATTTTACGACATTAGAGATCGCAGTAGAGCAAAGCGTATATGCAACAAACAGCTTCGATTATGTTCTGTTGTGAAAGATATAAGAGAAGAGATGTAGGCAAGGAAAAGATGTCGAGTCGGTCACGTAGCAAGGATGACTCACAATAGATGGACGAAACGCGTTATCGATTGGTATCCACGACATGCAAAAAGGTCTGTAGGAAGGCCAACGATACGCTGGTCCGATCAGCTAACTCGATTATATGGAGTATTCTGGATGAGACGAGCTCAGGATAGAACTCGGAGGCGAGCTCAGGATAGAACTCGGTAGTTGCTGGCTCAGTCACTGGAGAAGATCAACAGCATGTCAGTGACGGAAACGCCGTATCAAGGATCAAAGAAGGAAGACTCGCAGCTGGTAAAGCACCTCATCATAGCAACGTTCGGGACGTGTTAATGATGCTTAATACAGACAAATCTCGAAACGGTTAAAGCTTTGCCAACAGATTCTATGCCTCATGAAACGAAGCGAACATCAGGGTCACTACTAGCAGGCTGAGTGTCAGACGAAGCAACAGAAAAAGTTATCAGCTGCCTAGCTGGAGAATCATATCATAAATTAGAGGTGGTTCAACTGTCACTTAATGGACCGAAACATTCTTCTCCGAAGAAATTTTCATTTTTTTACGTTTTGCTATATATAATCTTTCTCTTCCATTTAATCCGTTTCATGCATATCTTAAATAATTGGGCACAGCACCAACTGCCAGTGCGAAAATGCGTTTTTTGCACAGATCATCGCAGATTTTTGCCACTAACGGCAATGTTTTTCTGGTAGATGCTTCTAGCTAAAAGAATTGGGACTGGTCAGTACCACTACTTGCACTTGCTTAATTTGAATATTTTAAGGTTATAAAAAAGGATTCAACAAAAAGTAATAAAAGTAAAAATAAAAACTGAATTAGAATGTTTCGCTCAATTAAATCGCATACATTCCCATTCAGTGCTGTAACTGGGCCACGTCAGTGAGATGGTTGCAACAGAAGTATTAAAAACGTGCAATATGGTGAGTTAGAGAAGTGAAAAATAAAGACAATAATAAATGCGAAGTTGGGCTTACCTGTATATCGAAATTTCCTTTTGGAAAGAGGTAAGTGTAGGTACGTTGAGTGCACTGGTGCCTGGCGCTGAAATCCTCGGGCACTGGTGCCCATGCAAGTACCCGAATACTCTTCGGCAATGTACCGTTTAACATTTTAATATATGGCAGTTCCTGTTTTTCAGCTGCTGTTATATCACCAGAACCATCTGTGGCGCACAAAGCATTCTCATGCCCACCTGTCGACCTAAAATCGTTTAAAAAAACAATTAAACATAGCCATCAGCAAAAAAGCGTTACTGAGAATCACTGAGAGAATACTGATGATGACTGATTGTAACGTTTCTTGGACCGAAACATTCCCATTCAGTTTTTAATCTTATTTTATTCACATTTTTCTTTTTTATTCCCTTACATCTTTCATAAAGATAAACCAACTAAAATTATAATTAAAATTACCATCAGTGGATCGAAATATTTCTTACCATTAAAAAAATTCTATTAATTTTACAAATTTTGTAATTCTCATCTCCTACTTTCATTTTTGATTCTTCTTATTCCAATCTTTGTTAATGTATACCTTTCTACTATCCTCTTCCACCCAAGCTGACTCTCCAGGCAGCAAGTCACTTTAGTGGTCTAATCGACTGACCTGTCCGGTGCCTTAACAAAGCGATTATTCCCCCTCCCTCTCTCCTAATTCCACCTCCCGCCGTTTAATATAAACGATTTCATTTTAACCCACAATTTTCATTTATGTCAGAAAATTATGCCCAAAAAACAACGTAGCAAGCGCCATTAGGCAATAAAGAGTGTCCATTTTTGCCATGGCAGATAATGAAGCTCTTTGTGTTGAGGGGAAAAAAAGCAAAAAGCTGAAATTAATTAGTCTAAAGTGAGCCAGAAGAGCAAAGAAAAAGCCCCGAAAAATGAAGCCAAAAAGATGAAGGACGCAAGAGGAAAGTTGTGAAATAACTTCACAAATGCCCGATGCATAAAGAATCGAAAAAATAGTTTCTAAAAAACTGAACTAGGCTGAACAAAATTCATGTATGATACTCACGCATGGTATTTAGTTTTTGATGTTTCGCTGCCCAGTTAAGGCGGATTACTGAATGATACTTAAGCAAAACTAATAGAGTTAAAGGGAGACTGGCTTAAACGGCTATATGGAATTATGTGGATAACAGAGGCTCAAGACAGATAAGAATGGAGAAGAGTTGCCAGCTACATCAGTGGCAAGAAGGAACGCGGCGATGAAACAACAGCTGATCAAAATATTAAAGCAAACAGCTGGAGAGCAAAGGCTGGAGAGCAAAGGAGGAAAAAGATTTCGAAGAAGCAAGGAAGGTGTCAGAATTGAGCTGTTTGCTTTTCTTAAATTATAAAAAAATATAATTTTTATTACAGAGCTATTCAGTCTACCGATTTTATAATTAAACAAGACAAACAAGTGATGGA